AAGCTCAGCCGTTGGAATCCGTTATGCTATTCATTCTAAGTGCCGGGACTATTTGCCAAGCTGGTCAAAATACGTTACTACCGTTATAACCGTGAATCGTGTCGTTCAAATACGGTTGTAATGCTGCAGTTTGCAATGTGGTCAAGGCGGTTTTTTTACGTCGTCGCAAACGTCGCGTTGTGACGGTAAAATAGTGAAATGAGCAGACAAGAGTATAGAATTACATTCTTTATTACTTGGTTAATTTATTTGACTTGGCGTAATCGAAAACAAATTCTCTCCCTCCATAATTTCGCAAGTGTAAAATATCAGGTTCCGTACAACGTATTATAAACGCTTGACCGTCTGAGCAACCTAAATAACAGGCCGTTTTTCAACGACTTAACCAGTTAGCTAGCTGGAGTGGGAAATTCTAGCATACCCATATTGACGGCGGTTTTTCACCGACTTGACCGGAAAAGGGTTAAAGGCCCAATTCACTTGCCCCGGGCAAGTGTGAATTGGAGGTGTGACTATGCTAATGAGTGTTGTTAATCACTTGCATAGCCTATGACGCACTCTGTTTCAGCGGTCCAACATCACGTGACTTTGATTGACAGTAGTTAATTATTCCAGATTAGTAGCGTGTCCCTTTCCTCGGTTCGAGTTTTTGACTTTTATCCGCCAAAATCTCAGCTCGTACACTATTTATTGTCATAAATACTACATACAGTCACTGCTGTGATATTCATAGTCACATGCATCCACTTTGGCACGACATAATCGACCTGTAAGTTCGAGAAAACGCGCTATTACCGGGGCTTGGCTGGAGCTGTTTACTACAGCGTGACAAGCAAGGAAATAATCCCTATTGTTTAGGACCGTATTTATAGTATACCTGGGCCTTTAACTGAAAAATAGGTTTGCACAAGTAGTATTAGAAAATTGAATGACAAAAAAAATATTCACTGGAATTAATTAGCCTTGTAACCTGGGCTACTAGATTAACCCATATAAATAAGGCTTCATGTCTGTATGTGACTACTTTGATTGCTCAGAAATACATGTAGACAGATTGTTGTAGAAATCATCACTGGGTTTTAAGTTAACTGTTTTGTAAAAAAAAATTGTACATTCTAATCTTAATTTGAATATTCATTTGATTTTAATTTATCTGATTTAGAAATAAAACATTGCTAAATAATTATGCTCTATGCAGTGGACTTAGTTGTCAAATGACAAATTATTACTGAATTAACATATGACATGAATATTATTATATAATTTAATTAGAGTATGATGTCATACATTTACTCAGCTTTGTGATTTCAAATTCACCTAACTCCCATTAGTTCTGTTTTATAGCCAGTGACAGAAACATTTTATGCACCTGTTAAAAGCAATTGACCTACTTTCACCATATCTCATTGCATGGACATGAATACTTTGTGCTCACAATATGTGTTCAGCACTTTATTTGAATATTTAATTGTATTTGCATAATCACTGGTTTACAAGGTGAGGTCACTTTTCACATCCTTTCCCATGAATCAACAGCAGTACGTTTCCTGGCATCATGTGTACATTTATTTTTGTTGGTAATAGGTCTTTCAAAGCTGCGATTTTACAAATTTTTCTTCAATTAAAATCATATTGTTGCATTTATTATGAACTCTAAATCGCATGTATTTTTTCAATTGCATTCTTGAAGTGTTCAAGCAAAAAAAGTTTTCCTGTTCCAATAATTTTTTTATTGATATACATTAAAAAATAACTATCAAGAACCACAATTTTATGCGAGATAATATCCCTCCCATGTTGAGCAAATTATTACTTGGGACAGTTGCATTGCCATTAATCTTCATAAAGATTTTCAATATTATTCTTGCATGTCAACACTTTTCTATAACAGAATTATAGTCTCTAGCCAGTTACAGTCCACACAAGTTCGGTAACATTTATTAAATACTGGAAGAAGTTTATGTTGCTGTCCAATAACTTCTGAGTTTAGGAGACTCGCATTTTCAAAGCAAAAATTGATAAAACTGCTTGATCATTCGATGTATAATAAGGTTATTACAAGGATACCTCAAAGTATGCACAAAGACAATATAGCGAGAGTATCGACTGACGTGCAGGCGTATGTCTTCGTGCATATTTCGAGGTATTGTACATCTTTTTCTTGCAAGGATACATCATGGGAATGTCAAAATCCAAAAAGTTTAAGACAGAATCAGCGAACTTCATTGTGTTGAGTCTGGTCAAACCCTGGGGCAGCCATGTTTGTTTTTATTAGAGGAAGCTTACGTGCGTAATAATTCCTTATTTGGAATTCGCATTTCCTAATATGGTAGGATGAAAATACCCCATAAAAATACCGCAAAATTATGGCATGCTGTAACTTATGGCGTTATGGTGACAGATGTATAACAATATTAGGTATATTGAAGAGCACCATGGCAAACTCATTGGGCATCGAGATGATTGTTGTTGATGCATTCAAGCCCTGCAACACTACAATAATTTCTTAATAAACATGTTTACATTTAAATAGTAATGGCTCATAATAAAGTACTAGCAACCCAGACCTACAAAACTCACCCACACATGTTTTTGTATTTTTGCATTATTGCTGTCAAAATAATACATTAACTCCACATACAGTGATATTCAAATTTCAAAACAATCCAGTTAATTTGTAAAGTGAACTGTATATCAAGACCAGAGCATGTATTGAAATGTCACGTAGCTTCTTAACAATGGATTATCACCATTCTTTGATGCATGCTGCTAGGTAATAACAAATGCAGGAGTAACTAACATGCATTTCCTGTGCACACATTGAACAAAATAATCAAATTGTTCAGGGTTGAACCGAGTATTGTTTGTAAAAATAGAAGCGACAGGTTTCTGACATCAGTCAACAAAGCTGCTATAAACCTAATGGTGTGTGGGAGAGAGTAGTAACAATAATGGGTGGGGTTGATTCTATATATGGTGACTTTCAATAAATTGTCAGCAATGTGAGTTTAATTCGTATTAAAGATAAAAAAATATAAAAACTTGTAAATGTAGAAACATCTTCATTGCAATGCTTTATATAATACATGCACCATATTTGCTCAATTAGTGATAAATTTGCAATTTCATTTAGTGCAATACATTCTGAAATTAGGTGCCTTCAAAACACTGAAGTTTTGACCTATGGCAAGTGTAGATTGCAGAATTTTGAAAGTTTTAGATGTCTCATTTATTTCCTTTATTTGGATAAATAATATACTGTGGAATACTTTATTTTCGCTGGAATTAATTTTCGCTGAAAAGGCTTTTTGGGCGTTTTGTATGGAACTTATTTTCACTGATTTTTGATGAATTTAATGTGAAATAAAGGAAAAAAAGTATATTTGCTGGATTTTATTTTCACGGAATCATCCATTCAGCGAAAATAGCGAAAATAAATTCCAAGCGAAAATAATGTATTCTACAGTACATTGATTTATCATTAGTCGTATTGATATGCTAATTTAAATGTACACCTGGTTATGCCAGTACATCTGATATGGCATGCGCTTGTATAAAAGAAACAGGATTCAAATAATTGTTGTCAGTACTCTACAGTCGTGGTCGTGTCTCGTCATTGTGTTGTTGTGTATGCATTGTCTTGTATACTGCAGTATGTACATGTATATCAACTGTTTATTTTAAAAAGTGAGTGAGACTGCATATAAATATGTTTAAAATAGAACTTTTGTCGTTAAAATGTGTGTAGACAATGTATTTAACTTGTAGGTTCAATTGAGTATAGATTTTGGAATTATGGATGTTGCAAAAATATTTTCATACATATACATACTATTTTGCTATAATTCAAGGGCAGATCCAAAATTAACATAATTTATGATCAAAAGCAGTAGATTACAATTTTGTACAAAATTAACATAATTCATGATTAAATATACAAATTTTTTACAAATTTTTGCATGCATGTTCGGTTGAAACAGCTCTGTACTTAATTGTACTGAAGAGGGGATTACTTTTTATTAGTACCTTTCAGGTGTAAAATTTGGGCTTTGACATAACAATCAAACAGTAAGCATTCTTATACCATCATTATGATAACCTAGCAACATGCTATGGTAATACATTCCACATATCCATTAATTGCTCTTAGAGGGCTGTGTTTTGCCAATTTAGACACATTTTGTAAACTATGTAATACTGATTACAAAATAACTTTTGTTGTATCAAATGAACACACACTGGGTAAAATGTCAGGATGCGCATGCTATGCAAACAGAACCTAGACTGCTGGTAAATGAGTTTGTCTCACTCAGTGTGTGTCTGTCTTTGTATTTAGGTGATTTATGTCTTTTCTGATTGCAATTCCTATTGCCACATGTATTTTTGTGCATGTCGTATAAATTGTGTGATGTCATTGTCATCTGGCTATTTTCTCTTTAATTTTGGTAAAGACCTTAATATATTAAGGACAAATTACAAGTTTCATTGGAGGTGATTGGGTTAATGAGGGATATATTACACTGAATATCAGACCAATTTGTTCAATGCCCTAATTAGGGTACAACCTTTCTTGAGGTCACTGTTTATGCTCTAAGGTCACATGCTGTTTTGAGGTCAAAATAGAAAATGTACTATGAAAGACTAAGTAGGAGTGGTTGTAGTAATCCACAAAGCTGTAGCCATCTGTTGAAAAAAATAACCAGTGTATCCATATATTACATGCTTTGGGCAATTATGACGAATATCATTCACATCTAAATGTAGGATGAAAATACGATAAGCGTGTATATATTTAAAAGATTTGTTTTGTTGCTTGTGAAATTTATGTTTACATGTTTCAGTTCTGAAATAGGAGTGTTCTTTGACATGGCATTTGCTCGATTACCTCCTTTGACCTTTTTCTTTACCAGAATCACACATGGTTGATTGACTCTAGTGTTAGTTCATAAGAAAATTTCCACTTGGTTGTACAATATACATATATCAAGTCTGTAATGACTAGTAGTTTTATGTATCTACTTCTTGTCAAATGTAAATATACTGAGATAGACTTTGTTGAAGCTGATCAGACAAATCCTATAATCTTTTCAAAAAATTAAATCTTGTTGCACACATTTTATTAATGCTGTCTGGTTCTAATCTGTAGTTTACCATGCTCTGTCTTTAGTGATCTACATGTATAATTACCTATACTAAACACTGAATTAGTTTCTTTGTACACGTAGATGATAAAGTGTACGCGCATATATTATTCAAAAATTGAAAAAGTTGACTCAACTGAGTCCTCACTCTTGATTTTTGTCCATCATTTTAAAACCAGTTCATTAGTTCTTGTTTTTAAGGTCCCATCTGTCTGTGTGTGTCTGTTGGATATCATTTCTTGTATATGCCCAGATCAATTTTTTTTTTCAAAGTTGGTACAAAAACAATGCTCAATGGTATTCATATGCTGGTAGCCATTTTTCTCTCAAAAACAACATTTCATTATGTCATCAACCCTGGGCCTCAAGTTCAAATCCTACCTTAGACTGAACGTCAAAAGGGTCCAGTGTTCTCCCCAGACTTCATGTCAAGCATCACGGCCAATTTGCATAACAATGTATCTAATTTGCATAATTTGTATTTGCATAATAATCAGTTTTTCCCAACAAATATTGTCAATCTACAATTAATTAAAGACAAGATATTTTTATATCTGATAAATTTTATATCATTTTACTGCATTGTATTTTTTGTTTTTGTATCAAGTCAAATAAAGTTTGAAATGGAACATCATAAAAGGGAAAAAACAATTGAAAAACTTGTGTTATAGCCAGTCAGTGAATATACTGTTATCCATGGATGTAACTGGTTCATCATTGTATAAGTTTTAGTGCCCATGTCACTGTCA